AAAGAGTGTATAGGAATGTTTTTTGAAGCTGCATCGAAATTTAAAAGACAATAGTAAATATTAGGAACCCTCTAAATGTGAAATCTGAGGCCATCAATAGTGGAATTAAAGAAAAAGAAGCAGGAAAAAATGAAAGAGCAGTAGATGTGCAGGAGAAATTAGATTATGGATCATGGTGAAACCGAGGAGCTCAATCAAGTGAAAAAGTCATTAAGAAAATTACTTCATTTGAATAAACTTAAGTAATGTTGAGTTAGCTCAACTCTTCCATCGCGTTACCGGCAACTCTGCAGAATTGAGCAGCGCTCAAGTGATAGTTTTCCTGTTTTGTTGATGCAGATGTGTTCAAAGATATTACACAGATTTTGTGGTAGCTTTTCTGCTGATCTTAACAGTTTTTAGTACTTGAAAATACTTACATTTTGAAGCCAATTACAAAACCAAGAATAGAGTATCCTTTGATGTAATGCATTGTTCCATTCTGTGTTCCTAACATCATGTTACTTCCTTTCATTTTGTAATGGTCCAAGTTTACTATAGCAGATTAATTCTTTGATGGCCTTGGAGAATTTAAAAAGAAATAGTTTTTAATTATGAACTTTGGATTTAGAATGTGTTCTAATACATTTTCATTTTCTTTATTCCTTTATTGCACTGACTCCAAGTACTGCAGTACACTTACTCTTTTCCAATATGGTATTGATAATCTGTAATTTCCTAATCACGTCCAGCTGCTATAGTTTTGGTGCTTTGTTTGTGGGTATTTTTCCTTATGGCTAGGTGAAAGGATATACTAAAGCAGAGTGTTTCTTAATTTTTATGTTTTGTTTGGTTTTTTTTAATTTCCCTTTTTTGGTGGAAAGAATCCCATGGCCTCTTCAAACTAGTGGAATCTTATTTGATCTAAGTCAGCGTTCTGAAGGAGTTTAGGGAAGATGCCAAAGGATCACATCTAGTGGACTGGTGGCATAGCAGCTTTACATAAATGATTTGTGAGTGTGTGTGGTTTTAATAAAAAATTGGAGAAAGTTCCTCTCAGAGATTATTTTGAAACCCTGGAAAATTGTTTGGCTCTTTCATGACAACATTTTGCAATGTCCTTTTTGTGTATAGTAATTTTCTATTATTCTATGGTCACAATGCTAGATTTGTTTATCTCTTCACATCAAGGGAGGAACAATATATATATAAAAGCATGTTTATAAACTATAGACAAGCCAAATGCTTAGTGGAGAGGTTTTTGCTGAATGTGCACTAGAAAACATATTTTTTTTTGTAATCTATTAAAATGGGAAAGATCGTTAGTTCAAGAAATTCATGTGAGCATGCTAACTAGATGGAGATAACTATGATCAAGTGTTTTAGCTGTATGAATCCCACTTATTCTTTGAAATGAAGGCTTTTTTCTCAATTATGTGGGCCTATCTAAGAGCAGTAGCAAGTAAGAGTTTTCTGGTACAGATACAGTCACAGAATCACAGAATCTTGGAATGATAATTGTTCTGGTTGGAAAAGACCTTCAAGATCATAGAGTCCAACCACTCACCTAACTCTGCTGAGTCTAGTGCCTAAACCATGTCCCTAAGCACCACATCTACACATCTTTTAAACACCTCCAGGGATGGTGATTCAACTACCTCCCTAAGCAGACTGTTCCAGTGTTTAATAACCCTTTCAGTGAAGAAGTTATTTCTAATATCTAATCTAAATCTTCCCTTCATGCAATTCAAGACCATTTCTTCATTCTTTCACTTGTTACTTGGGAGAAGAGACCAAGCCCCACCTTCCGCAGCCTTCTTTCAGGCAGTCGTAGAGAGCAATAAGGTCTCCTCAGCTTCCTCTTCTTCAGGCTAAACAACCCCAGTTCCTTCAGATGCTTCTCACAAGAATCACCTTGTTCTCCAGATCCTTCACCAGCTTTGTTGCCCTTCTCTGGACTCATTCCAACAGCTCCATGTCCTTCTTGTAGTGGGGGGCCCAAAACTGAACACAGTGCTCAAGGTATGGCCTCAGCAGTGTTGAATCAAGACACAGAACTTCTGCTTTTTAATTAAGATTCTTAGATGTTCTTTCTCTGTTGCAAAGTAAGGAGGAAGTTGTCTTAGCCTGGATAAAAATTAGTTGGGTTTTTTTTGTGTTTTTTTTTTCCCCTTTTTTAGGTCTTATGTGTGATGCAGGCTGTAATGTCTTTTTCATCCACCAGACTTACCAAAGGATGTCACAAGGGTATGCTAGGTCATGATACATAGGACAAGACATTGTCACATGTATTACTTTCAAAATAGCAATGTACTTTTCCAGCAAGAATAAGTGATTTCCGTACTAGTGGCAGATGTTTTGGCTTAAGGAAATGTATGGAATTCAGAAATTAATAAAATTTTATTATTGGAAAATTAATACCTGTGCAACAACTCACAGGTGTAGTTTGTGAGTGAATTACAGGGAGTTGTCTGAAATCACAGGACAGTTAATGTTGTTTGAGGGATCAGTCAAGGAAACCTGATGGCTGGAGAATGTTTCTGTGGTCTGTCTGATGCCTCCAAGTTATGTTCTGGTGTTGTCCCTATAGCCCTGAACAGCTTGAATTTTCAGGAAAAAAAAGTCTGTCCTTTATATATTCCCTACTACTCAGTTGCTGCCATAAAATTTACATTTTCAGGAGCTTGGTAACCTCCAAACTACATGTGCTATCATATAATTTTCCCTGCTGTTCTATTTTAACACCTCAAAAAATGCATGCAACCGAGAATGATATTGCAAAATTAGAACCATGATTCAAAATAATTTCTTAGCTGTTATTTCCTCAGGTTTATAAGTTGATTACCTTTACAAGGTAACCGATTACCTTTACTTACCTGTACTTTCTTCTTTTCGTTGATTATCACCAATATGCATACAGCTGAATTTTGGTCACTCCACTGTTCTTGAAAACAAATTTCAAA